GGAGTGGAGTTCTGGGTTTTGGGTTCTGTTAATTTCACTTATGATTCAATGCAACAAAATAAACAATTTTAAAAACTAACAGATCATTGTAATACTTGGTTTATTTACATAATAACTTTAATTGCTGGATGTCCGGCCCCTGAGCTGCTGGTTTTCAGTAAATGTGGACTCCTGACCAGTTTAGTTGACTAGTCCTGCTTTAGAGGATAAAATACAGTTTATTACATTTCCAAACCCTTAGCAAAAAGTAATTTATTTAAGTGTACTACAAGTATACTTGGCGCAACTGGTAGAGCTGCTGCCTCTCAGCGAGCAGGTCCCTGGTTCAAACCCCGGTCCAGGGGCCTTTCTGGGTGGAGTTTGCATGTTCTCTCTGTGCATGCGTGGGTTTTCTCCGGGTACTCCGGTTTCCTCCCACAGACCAAAAACATGCATGTTAGGCTGATTGGTAACTCTAAATTGTCCCTAGGTGTGAGTGAGAGAGTGAATGGTTGTTTGTCTCGTTTGTCTCTATGTGGCCCTGTGATGGACTTGCGACCCGTCCAGGGTGTACCCCGCCCCTCGCACAGTGATTGCTGGACATGGGCACCAGCGACCCCCGTGACCCAAAATGGAACAAGCGGGTAAAGATAATGGATGGATGGATGGACAAGTATACTTATTTTACACAAAAAATAAGGAAGTGTACTTAAAGTTTACTTTTTATAAACTTTATTTGATATACTCAAAAATAGTATAAAAATGTCCCAATTTAGTCCAAACAAGTATTAAATCAGTATATTTTCTAGTACACTACAAGTATGGTGTGTAGTATACTTGATATACTTATACTTAACTTAAAGTATACTTGCAAAAATGAACTTCAAATGTATTACTTTTTGTTAAGGGAAACCTAAACTGAGTCTGGAAATATGTAAAAGATGATAAAGCCCAGTGGCCGACCTCATGAGCAGCTGAATACAACAGTGACAAACAGGAAGTAGCTTATCGCATGTTCATCTGTACGAAGGTAACTGCAGGCAAATCCTCCATTTTTGTCACAATTACATTTTATGCTTAATGGTTAAATTAAAGGTTAACGCTTAAAGCTAGTTGTGCTTTGTTTTGTGTGTATTAAGTGTAGTTTTTGTTTGTCATGATCAGTTAACACTAAACTGATTTGTATAAAACGTTTATTAGGTCGTGTAATGTAAAGCAGAGTGCTACGTCTGTAGCATCTTAGCTAGCGTGTCTGTATTGCACGCCGCTAGCTTAGCGTTACTTCTTGTTGTGCCGTGCTAAAATAGTTGTTGAATCAAGTGTTTACTTATGGAGGTAAATGTAGATGTTTAGCAACCCGTTAAAATGCACCAGAACTCAGGAAATGGCATTTACTTTATTAAAAATTTTCTGAGGGAGGATCCTCAGACGCCCCCCACCCCCAAACCCCCCTTGGCCACCACGTTGTTCAAACCAAGAGCCTTTGTCAGCACTGGGGGCTAAGCGCCCCTAAAGGCCAGATTCTAGAATCGCCCCTGGTCCAGACCATCACTGGAGCAGCTGAACTTCATGTCTTTAGTTTAGTTTAGGCTCCTTTCTGGATCCACGTGCGCCCTGTGGGCTCAGGAACGTGCAGCAGTGCGCCTCATCACCGCCAGGGGTCGCTGTGTGACAGCACATCTCCTCCCCCCTGCAGGATGGAGCTCCCTCCCTCACTAAGTTCTGCAGAAAGCTCTCGTTAACCTTGTCTTTTAGCTCAGGAAGGCGAGCACGGCTATTAGTCTAATGGCATTAAATGAAAATGGCACGCGCATGTTTATGAATTTGCCCTCGCGCAGGGGCCCAAGAACAGGTTTGGTGACTTTGTGCGTGACCTTTTCGGAAAGAGAGCTAATCCCGAGCTATAATAGAGTCCGGGACCGATATGGAAAACTGCTGCTCCGTTATCTGGGTTGTCTTGGAGACCATCAGAGCACCGGGGCCGGTGGAGATGCCACGGTATTAAAAAGGGGAATGCGTGCGTGTGTGCGTGCATGTGTGTCTATTAAACAAATGTTATCCGTTTTATTTTTTATTTTTACGTGGGAAAACTCATAAATACCACATCACATAGTATCCACACACAGCTGGTTATTTTTTTTTTTTACTTCTTTTCTTTTTTTTTTTTTTTTTGAATATGGTAAAAATTATAAATTCAATTCTGCAAACAAGAGGACGGTCGTGACCAAAGTGTGCACGCTGTCTTTATTATTTCTCATGGCATCAGTAAAGTTAGTTTTAAATGGAGCGAAATAGTTGCAGTTCCAACGAATCAAAGGATGAAATGAAGATGGTCCTAAAAAAAAGCTGGTCCGATTAGAGGAGTCTTGACAATAAAATTGATTTTTTTGTATTATTTGTATTTTGTATTATTGAATAATTAAAAACAAAAACGTACATGCAGTTACAATTTATGTTTTATAAAAAAAATTCCCCAAATAATAATAATAAAAATAACTAATCCAAACTAATTAGAGTGCTCCACGTGACCTGAGTCAGATCAATCAGTCAGATAGCATCACATCAGAGCTCTAATAAAGCTCGTATTGATATGGAAAGTGTGTCTGGCCAATGATCGCCAAATATAGAGCCTATAGGAGCAAAACCCTGTAAATATGTGTCATTCCACGC